GCCCTTGCTAGGAGCTTCATTCTCAACACTTTTTATGTTCGAGCACCATCTGGTGACGGAGGTTGAATTCGCATGCATGGCTCTAAACCGAAAGAAACCAGGAAAGTCTTTTGGATGCGGTGTTCCAGAACTGCAAACATAGTTTAAGTTGCACAACAGCTTCCAGGCACTGGCAGTACCTGCCTTCTGCAGTGTCCATACTAGGTGTCCGTTCAAACTTGCCCTACAGACCAGGAGTTTACGATCTCTTCTTTTTACATCATACCTGTGCGATGTTCTGCTTACACTCAGAAACTCACAATCCCCATGGAAGTGTGTATTTACTGACAGCATTTGTGGATTAAGCAAATGTATTTCTTAAACAGCCTCTTGTTTCAAGGTGTGCTCCCAGTAGGAAACGCACACAGAAACAAGAGCAATAAAAACACTGTGAACTTTGTAACATCAGATACACGCAACAATAAAACTATTAAACGAACTTCCAAATGCCTGCTGAATAAAGTGCCCTTAGAACATTTCCAAAAAGAACCTCCAGAGGGAGCGAAACATGTTTCTTGGGAAACATATTCCTAAGGGGCCACCCTAGAAAAGGCCCTGCTTGTGGTAGGTAATCGTCTTACCGGATAGGACAATAGAAGCTAAAGGCCAGAAATACACTGGGAGATCTCTTCTGCTCGGCGCAGGGCTCCCCGGGAGGGGGCGCGCGCATGGTGTGACCCTGTCTGATGCCCTCCTCTCCCCTTCTGATGCTGTCTTCCAGGAGGGCCGTACGGGGCTGTGGGTGTAGACCTCGCCTTTGAGAAACTGCTTGGCCAGATCTTTGGTGAGGACTTCATTGCCACGTTCAAAGCCAAGCGCCCGGCGGCTTGGGTTGATCTGACCATTGCCTTTGAGGCCCGGAAGCGGACGGCTGCACCCCACCGCGCAAACCCCCTGAACATCTCCCTCCCCTTCTCTTTCATTGACTTCTACCGGAAGCACCGAGGGCAGAATGTGGAGACGGCGCTCAAGCGCAGCAGGTATACTGGCAGCTTTGTCACCTGAGCTTGATATCCTTGGGCTTCGCCTTCCTCTGTGATTGCATTAACGGTTCTGTTCTATTTTATTTTTACACTAATCAGAAAACTTAGGGAGGTTATTTACAATATTTTTTAGCCGCACAATTGCCGGTTCTGTTCTATTTTATTTTTACTCAGGCAGGTTAGAGGTTTAAGCTAAATCCAGTTGTTAGTCCTAGCTAGAGTAGAGATCCTTGAATAAATGGGATTTTACTAAACGTATTTGTTTCAGGTTGATTCAACATGTCTGTGCTAAGGAGGACTACGAAATGGATTTAGCCTTAAACATGCAATAAATTAAAAAAATAAAACCTTGAGCATTATCTGAGGAGCAACCTCTGTGTCTTCTTGATCTCCTAGGGTGTCATACCAATATGGTGTTTATAATCCTGGTCCTCACCTCTTTTTCATTGTTGAATATTTCTTTAACTGAGAAGATGATTTCTAAGATATTTTCTGATATAAACATTGCACACAATAGGTAATGCAATTGTAATAAAGCAACAGAGAGAGGGGGGGCTAAGATTTGATGGGCCTTCATTTCCAAGTGCAAAGGCCCAGAGTACAGTTTTTCATGGGAATCGAAACAGGAGGGGATCAGATTAAGCAGCGCCTCCCTGTCTTCCCTTTTGCCACTCCACGCAGGTGTTAAGGCATGGCTGTGTTTTAGTTAAAATTTAAAAAAAAAAAATCACAGAAGATTTGATGGGCCTTCATTTCCAAGTGCAAAGGCCCAGAGTACAGTTTTTCATGGGAATCAAAACAGGAGGGGATCAGCTTAAGCAGCGCCTCCCTGCCTTCCCTTTTGCCACTCACACGCGGGTGTTAAGGCATGGCTGTGTTTTAGTTACAATTTTGAAAAAATAGTCACAGAACTCCAGCGGCTGTCCACATTCAGTCTTCTCTCTCCAACCTCCACACTCCCCCCCGTGTGCCCCTCCCGCCCATCTCCATCACTCCAGCGTGAACTTGGTCAAGTGGTCCTCCCAGGGGATGCTGAGGATGTCACCGGAGGCCATGAAGGAGCTCTTCCAGCCCACCGTCAGCCAGATCATCCGCCACATTGGTGAGTCTGTCTTCAGAGTTCAGCGCTCTGACCCAGAAGAGCCTCTTTGCGGGGGGTGGGGGTGGGTGGGTGTTGTTTCATCCACCCCCAAACTATGCTTTTCAGAGGAGGCAAGTCCTCTGAAAAGAACCCTTGCCATGGGGGCATGCCCTCAGCTTGGGCTAGAAAGCTGACCGTCTGCATGCAGGCCGGCCAAAAAGAGGCCAGGATTCTGTCCTGGTGCCTTTTGGATGGCTGACATGGTGGTCACAGCTCCACTTTCAGAGGAGTCACTGGCGGCTAGGTTTTCAGTCTGGTGTCTATGAAACTGGAGTTGGCAAAGACTGAATCTTGAATCTTTGCCCGTGAATCTCCCAATGGCCTCATGCAATGATGCTCAAGTTAGTAGGCAGAGAGAGAGACTCTGGTCATGTGCTCTGAATGGAGGACTTGGAACAGCGTCTAGTGTGGTTGAGAAGGCCAATTCAAGACGTCAAGGTTTTCCATCTGTTGAGGTCCATTCCGAAGGCCTTCAGATCCTGCTGGGATATCCTGGGGTCTCCCCCTGGGGCGATTTCCCTGCACTAATTGCTCAAGTTAAATGGAAGGTTTACGTCCTCCCTACAGATAAGGTTTGCTCAGAACTCCCCTATGGTGTGGGCATACCTCATAGGGAGGTTGTGATGGGGAGGAGAAGGCCTGACTTTATTTCAAAGGCTGGTTTTTGAGCCAGCACATGAATTTCCAACTGTGCTGCAACTTCTCTGGCCTCTCGCCCGCCCGGGTGATGCATCTCCCTCTAACTTGCTTCCCGACCCTCTTGCCCCACAGAGGACCTCATGAGGAAGCCAGAGGTTAAAGGCATCAAGTTCCTCTTCCTGGTGGGAGGATTTGCCGAGTCAGCGATGCTGCAGCACGCCGTCCAGTCCAGTTTCAGCAGCCTTTGCCGCGTCATCATCCCGCAGGACGTGGGGCTGACCATCCTGAAGGGGGCCGTGCTCTTTGGCCTTGACCCCACCATCGTCCGAGTGAGGCGCTCCCCCCTGACCTACGGGGTCGGGGTGCTGAACAGGTTTGTGGAGGGCAAACACCCGAAGGAGAAGCTCCTGGTCAAGGAAGGGAAGAACTGGTGCACAGACATCTTTGAGAAGTTTGTCTCCGTGGACCAGTCCGTGGCCTTGGGGGAGGTGGTGCAACGGAGCTACTGCCCAGCCCGGGCGGGGCAGCGCAAGATCATCATCAACATCTACTGCTGTGCCACGGACGACGTGGTCTACATCACTGATCCCGGGGTGAGGAAATGCGGGACCATCAGCCTGGACCTGGAGGAGCTGGACGCGTCCCAGTCTCCCAAAAAGGGCCGGCGAGAGATCCGGGCCAGCATGCAGTTTGGCGACACGGAGATCAAGGTGACCGCCATGGATGTCCAGACTTCAAAAACCGTGAGGGCTTCCATCGATTTCCTTTCCAACTGATGTCCTGGAAAATGGGATGACTTTCAGCTTGGGGGGGGGAGAAGGAGCCGCTCAGCCCCTCCCTCTGCCCTCTTTTGCAACCCATGAGCTAAGTCAGGTTAGACATGGAAAGAAATCAAAACCAGGGGCAGTGGCTAAAGACAGACACGGATTGCACGGCCCGTCGAAGAATGAGCGAGCTGTTGGGGGACTACAATGTCCAGAATCCCCAGCCAGCACAGCTGTGGCTTTTGGGAATTGTAGTCCCCCGCTGCCTCCAAAAAATAACATCTCTTAACTCTTACTTGAGCCCGTATGGCTTTTTACCTTGGCTCATTACCACGGCGCAGCCACTCACAATACCCACCTCAGCCCACAGCTTGCCTCTCAGAACTTTAAGGAAAGGCCCAAGCGATGGTTTATGGGATTGCACAGTTCGAATCCCAACGAAGCAAAGAGAAATATTTCACGT